ACAATAAGAAACATCAAAAAGATGAAAAAGCATACTACAATATTACAATATTGCCATTGGCAGCCCCCCATACAAAAGTACATGTTTAGCCCACCCATGGCACACACTTGGACGTTGGAGTTGCGGCTGAAGGCACAGTGGATGGCACTTGATGGTGCGACGAAGAGAACCTTGTTACACTAGGTCATGGACGCCAGCTTAGAAGACAAAGACCGCCGTCTAGGGACCCGGTCCAACCATTCTTTTGTTGGCGGTGTTTAGAGAATTGCCGGATTATATAGTGCACTGCAGCAATTCAAACCGCCATTAATGGATGCCTTGACTGCCGGTTTAGTTATTTAGCCGGTGCCCTTGATCGCCGGTTTAGTTAATGAGCTGGCGTCTTTGACTGCCGGTTTAGTTATTGAGCCGGCACCCTTGACTGCCGGCCTATATTCATTTGTCATTTCCATAAACCGCCGCCTTAGTTAAAAATTGTAATCAAATCCGACTTTTTTAACCGTCGGCTTAGACTTAATTGTCATCTAAATAAACCGCCACCATAAATGTTATATTTCATCAAAGGTGGCGGTTCGGATCGCCGGCGTAGACATTGTATAAACTACCAGTTTAAGTATAGTGATTTGCCAAAGGTGGTGGTTTGCATGACAGCCGATGTAGGTTTAATTTTTTTTTTTTTTTAATTAAGAATGTCAGTTTAAACCTGCTGAAACCTAAAGCATAATTATGAAACTGAAATTTGAAACAAGAATTCAATACAATCCATTTTGATAATCTAATTTGCACTTATACTCAAGTTCTAGTTAGTTGATATACACTTAATCAAAACATAAATCTACTAAAATCAGTTCATGTAAAGTCAACAAAGCAGGGCAACAGAAAGAAACCCCCAAAGGCATAAACAAATTATAACCACGACCACATCCCCCAACCCTACTTAATATTGAAACTTAAAAAAAAAAAGGCGCTAAAAATAATAATTGTAAAAAAAAACAGAGAAAATAAACACCCCAAAACTTTCCTTCCCCACTCTCACTCGTTTAAACGACCCAAAGACAGTTTACATGTGCTCTTGTCTGCAATCAAACACCTATTGCTGTTTACACTCTGGAGGTCGTTCACCTTGCTGACCTTCTCCAATTATATTGTGATAGTTTTTTGTATATTACTGATTCACTGTAAATGATATAGTGATACATTTTGAGTAATTCTTGAAACATGTTCTTTTTGTACAGCAGAGGATGCCCTAGTTCTTGATACACGTTTCTTTTGTACAGCAAAGTGTGTCCCTCCCTTCTCATTCGCATACTATTAATACAATACTTTTTGCCAAATTATCAAAAAAAAATAAAAAACTGAATAAAACCTTCATATTACAAATGCCTAAGACAGGACCCTGATGAAAATCAGTTCTATTTGCTCTTCCCTAGAAAGTAAGTCAACCATGAATTTGCAGTCTTAGGGATCTATCTACATTAGATGTTCAAWTTGTACTCCCAAGTACAGCCAAGTTCTGTCAGCTCCTCAAAACAAAATGTTTCATTGTACTCTCTGTCTAGACAAAGGATCAACTAGGAAAATTATTGATCTTGCTACTATTAGACGAAACTCTATTATATTAGACTTATGAAGTATACTCCTATGGATATTTGAGTGTGTTTCTTGTCCATAGTGGACTCTTTTAGATGAAACTCTATTATATTAGACTTCTGAAGTAGAACCCTACTCCTTTGGTTATTTGAGTGTGTTTCTTGTCAACAATATTTCTGTCAAGGCTTGTAAACATATTGGAAAAGATTAGGTACCTTTGGATGGTGGAGTCACTGCAGCACATAGATCAACCAAGATAAATGGCTTTGGTATGTCTTGTCAAAGATTTTTTTATCAGTGTCTTGTTCATGATTTTTGAGCTTTAGCAATATTTTATTAGATATGGATACATATACTTAGTTTTAACTATACCCAGCTAGGAGCAAGTCTGTCAACAGGTGAGATCTGGGTCAGGACAGGCTGACATGGTGGTCTCAGTCCCGAAACGATTATCAATCAAGACAAATTCACAGCCCAAGAACCATCATGGTTAATAATTGGGATAACCATGTCTGACCCTTATTTATTTAAATAATAACTTAAAACTTAAAATTTGATATGAGATGACTTAAAACTTAAAACATCATGGTTAATAATTGGGATAATCATAATGTCTGACTCGAAGACAGTTGGGTATCTTCCACGGTCAAATAAGACACTTGGGGGTATCTTCCACAGTCTAATTGTGTTATTTCCTTTATGCTTCCCCCTCCCATATTTGAATACCTTACACCTAATATGTAATTTAGAGCCAAAACTCCTTATGTCAATCTCCTGATTAGGTTTAATTGGGTGAACACACTTTAAATGCAAATATCTTTAATCTATTTATCATAAAAATGCAGATATCTTGAGGTAAAGAAGCTGATCACCCTTTATGGTATGATAATACTCTTTGAACTAAAAATTGGCCATGCATTCCAATGGAGACGGTATATATTGAACAATATCAAGGAAAACTACTTGACAGAATAGTCAAATAAAACTACAGAAGCTGATACAAAATCACTTAATTGATTAAATTGATTTTCCCTTACTTACCTTAATTGACTATCAACAAACTACTAAGTTGGTTGATGTTCTAGGCACAGAATCCTAGCCCAAATCACTGTTAAATCCTTGTCCTGATCCTAGTCTGATATCATGTCAGAACTAAACAAAATGCATGCTGAAACCCGAGAAGAGGCATGCCAGATATCAAGTTGATACTAAACTAAAGTAAACTAAACAAGAATGAACAGCACCATGATCATTAATTAATTTTCATTTGAAACTGTACATGCAGGTAAGAAATAAAACAGAAATCGATTAGGAAATATTAGGAAATTTATACATTTACCATTATGATAATATTGTTTATGCTGATGTGGCAGGTATTCCTGTTAAAGAAAACCTTACACATTGGCAAGCACCCCTCCCCCCTAAAGATTTCTGCATGTTGAAGAGTTTTAGCCTTAAAACCCCATTCTGGTCAAATCAAATCGCACTATAACCCTATGTGAACCCTCCTTTTCATAGACCTGTTCCTAGATCCACAAGCCCAAACCCTATATCTAAACTCTATAAACATCAATTCCTTTTCATTTTTCTTTCAAAATTATTACTACTGTAATATTGGTGATACTTGTCCTACATCAATTGGTACCAAAGCACCTGTTTGCTATCTGTCATCCTACATCAGGTGGCTTCCATGGATATGCACATGGGAATAGGCATCACATTTATAGTGCAATATTGAGCTCTATATGATCCAAATATGTGAAACCTAGTATCTACCCTTTCAAAGTTGTGATAGTAAGATTTATACAGTGTAACTTGTGTTTTCAACTTTACTTCTTCACTTCTTCTATAGGATATTGTCGTATATGTTAATCAATCAGTTCTTCTCCCTGCCCCCGAAAAAAGAAAAATAAACAAAAGAAAATTTGCATGTTGTTTACTTTCCTAGAGAATTTGTAATATAATAGCTTGGCCATCTTTTATAAACCGATGCCAACTAAAGAGATATATTTTGTTTGCAGAGTGGGAGAAGAGACTGCAACTTATTGGTGTTGTTGGCCTTGGTCAGGTACTTATTCTTTATTCTCAGCTAATCTTTTCCAATAATTCTCTAAAAGTACACTTTCCCTTCTTTCATGCCAAAGATGTTTCTTTTATCAAAGGTTTGGCATATTGGATAAAACACATATTAATGGAGAAGAGTTTTTATACACATGAAAAGGACCCCTAGTCTAATGCTTTACAATATACCACCTTCCAAACCCAAAAGATAGTACTTTCTATCTTCAATTTAGAACCTTAAACACTTTAAGAGCAAGTGTCCAGACATTTAATAAAAAACCACAAAGATATGATAAATGTCTTTGAGATTTTTTGAGAACTCTTCTAATTTTCTCCTACCAAAACATATGCATAAGGAATCAAAGACTATAGAAAAGTACCCCTAGGTCCCACAGAGCCAGAAGGCCAAGAGTTAATTGCTTCCCACATTGTGAAGGATGAGATCACAATAGCTAAAGATAGAGCTAAAGAGCTTCTAAAGGATATGGATTCGTGATAAAGGGAGAGGAATTGTGACTAGGTGTGCACATGGTTTGAATTGAGGTAAGTTTAAGCTTGACTGGTTTATATTATTAGGCAGCAATGTTAGGCCATGGTCTAGGTCAAAACCAGGTAACTATGGTGGGATTTCCTTATTGGTAACTAACTATGTTGGGTTTATCTTCTTATCATTGACAACTGGAAGTCCAAATTCCATCCTCTTATATACAGGACCTAAGTCCTTGACTTAATCCTGTCTGGGCTTAGATCCAGTTAGTCCTATTCAGCATTTAAGGCTATTATCCAATGTCGGTCCCAACTATCGAGGGAATTTGGAGAGTGGGCTGGATATGGGCATAAAGTTTGGCATTTTCTTGCATGAATTGGCCATTCTCATACTTTGTTCTGTGTTCTCATGAAGTGGTGCTACCCATCATATGTGCATTTCAAAATGTGAGAACCAGTTAGGTTTGAGTCTACACGAGGTTTACCAATGTGATATTGGTTTGTAGAATTAGCATATCAGTGCATGTCAAAGTAGCATATCCTGCTACTGCACTGCCAAATTAGCATATCAGTGCATGTCTACCATGTGTATGTTTATACCATTGATTGTCAATTCTTGAGGTTCATTGCTTCCTTCATCCAATATCAGTGTCCTCTTCAAATTGGAAGGTGGAAATGGTCATTTCAAGTATCAAATTTATAATAATATAAATATGTAAATAAGATGTAAATTGTGTTCACAGATTAGCACCGATAATTAGGAAAAGATGAAAAAGGTATATATGAATGGATAAGATACATTTGGCATTGCTGTATTCTTTCTTAGTTGTTACTTAGTTCTAATTTGTTCTATTAAATGAAATGATTGCTTATCATGTGCACTAGCACGATCTCATTTTATTTTATTTTTGTTTTTTTGAATTCTTTTGCTTTTAATATCAAAGTTACACCTACTAATGTTTATGATCTATCTGTAGTCAGTAAATGTGCTAGGGTCTTTGATCACCCTCTTCAGCCCATTGATTGTTATTGGCAACATAAATCCTCCATTTTTAATAAAGAATAGGATTCTCTTTAATGTCAACAGATCTCCATCTTCTTTATACTTACTTTCTTTACTCTTTGTCAGACTATCTATCGACGGTTTTCATACGAGGACTTTGAAGATTTTAAGGAAGATGTGAGGTAATTTAGTATTTCATATGATGAAAATACTTGAGAAGTTTTTTTCTTATTTTTAGTTTCTATAGATTAGGCTGTCAATGGGTTGGATCATGATCTGAATCCAATGAAGTTAAATTCTAAATCTTATATATATATTATTATTATCAGAGCTTTGGAACCCCTGACCAGATGGGTTAAATAGGATCCGGTGATATCCATCCACACATATGTGTATATGCATAATGAACATATTGGCAAAATTAGTTTGGGTACTATTTTTTAAACTACATGGTTGTAGGTTCATAACCAAATGAAGACATCTAATCTCAATATCGTTTAGTTAATATCAGAGTCTGGTTGACATATGGTTGGAAAATTTGTCTCAAAAGTGGTATGTTTGGACTATTTTAAAAGGTAAGGAAAATAAAAGCAGGGTTAGGGAAGATGTAGGCAGCAGGTTCAGAGAAGGATTATAGACGAATATTGAATGCTGGGAAAACAGAGTTGGTTAAATTTCTTCTGGGGCTTGCAGCATTGCTAATTGTACAAAATCAAAATGGCAAAAAATACCTTTGTTGCTAATAAATTATAGAAACAAAAACTACATATTATCAGTAGAAACGTTGTTAGGAAGAAGAAAGAATTATATTCTTTTGATCCTCCATTCTTGTTCAATTCTGATTGCATGTCCATCAAGGTTCTTCTTTTTTTTTCTCCTAACCATCCCATGATTAAATATTTTTCAACATATATAAGTGTGCAAAAACTGAAGAGATTTAATATCAAAATTATTAACTAACCAATAAATTAAAGCAGAACCCTTCTCCGATCAAGCTTCTGAATCCACTGTTTCGACTTCGTTGTGTACCAGGAATATAGAGCAGTAGATGATTCTCACCCTAAGAGGAAAAAAAGTATGAATAGGGTTTTAGAATTTAATGGGAAAGATGAATGCGGTATAAACATTACACAATTGAAGAACTTGCCTTTTGTCGACTCCTCAAAATGACTCCTTGACTTCTCTACTCAATTACAGACCTCTCAATACTGTTTAAATACAACTTTGAGATCGACTGAATCTCTATTAATCACTGGCAATACTCAAGTTTGGTAATTTCAGTTGTTGTGTGGGAGACGAAGTTGAGAAGCGGAGTCGTTCCTCTCTCGAAGACGAAACAGAAAAAGTGGCGCCCACTTACCACGTTTTGGAGGAAACACCCGGTTCAAGAGTAATTCATGATCGGTCGATTCAATGCAAAACCACCCGCTTAATTAATTGAACCGCCGCCCTCTATCCACAGATGGCGGTTATGCTAAAATCGCCAGCATATATGGGTCTATGCCGGTGTTTTTTATAACCGCTTGTTTAACACCGCCGGCTTAGCCAATATTTCTTGTAGTGGCGCTACTATTGTGGTTTTGGCCTTTGGGGAACAATGCAGACGACTAGCGTAGTAGACGGTGGTGATATAGACTTCAGCAAAGAAAAATGAAGTGTGACAAAATTAAAGATAAATGAGACACCGAATTATGTTAAATGATACAGGATGATTAGCAACTCTTCGGAAATTTAAGTATATGTTATGTAGTGCTACTGTTGTGGGGTTGCAATCACGGTTTTCTTATAAAAGGGTATTTATATCTTTATTTTTGTTTGAAATTGTTGTCGTCAGGTAGGACGTTTCTTGGAGCAATAACAAATTTTTCTATTTGGTACCATTGCTCCAGGAAACGTTTTCAGCACTGGTACCTATAATCCAGGAAATGGCAATAACACCAAACAATTGTTAAATAGGCATTTAAGTTCCATTTTAGGGGATTTCTACAACATGAATTATTTTTCTTGTTGCCCTTTGGAAAATAAATAAAAAACAATTTAATTTGAAAATAGATTGTTTATCAATATAAAAAAACATAAAATAAAATCGTGTTCTAGATTTTCTGATTTTAGAAACATGTTTTTATATGTTGTAAGTGTTGTCCCCCAGACCAACGAGATCTGAATTTTTAAACATGCACTGCCTATAACCAACTATAAACAAGCAGCCCGCCCCTGAAATTCCTGGGCCTGATGCGAGCCCAATAACTTGATCATATAAAACATGTGTGTATAATTATCCATGTAAGTATATATATATATATATATAAGTAATTTATTGTGAGCTGGATAAGGCCTAAGCCAGGCTTGTGTTGGGTGCAAACCCAGCCCTAAATTTTTGGACCTGATGGGAACCGGGCTTTTTTAAGATTCTGGGTCAGGCTGTAAATGACCATCTTACGTGGGTTGGGTTGGCTTTCATTTAGATAATAATTTATGATTTTATTTGCACAAGTATGACTGTGTGAACCCTCAAATACATTAAATAAATATACTTTTTGCAGTATATAGAACAATACAAATATGTAATATCAACATAATACCATAAATACAGTACCCAGTATCCATCATCCATGTTTCAGCGTGAAGAAAAGTGTAAAATACAAAATGTACACATATGCATGAGTTTTCCAATTATACGAATGAAATGGGGGCGGGAGATCACATAGTCGTGGGAAATGTTTGGTTTAAACTTTAAAATACTAGCGTATTTATTTCATTGAGGCTTGCGGTTGCATGCAACCACTGCCACAGCAAATCTATTCTGTGAAATGGGAATTTTGACAAATGTGTGGATTTGGCATCTGGATCAGTAGTTTTAAAGCACTGGTTTCAGCCGTTTAGAGTTTTCAAGCTGCAATGCGTTTACTGGTTATTGGTTAAAGAACACAACTCATGAGTTAAAACGCCATTTTATTTATGGTGCAGTAATTAAGGAAAGAAATTAGTAGCAAAAAAAAAAAAATTAAGTAAAAGAAATGCTGCAATCTTATTGGTAAGCTTAGACGTTGAAAACGAATTCACTTATTCTGCGATTGCTCGGTCATTCGTTGTAAATTCATGTTACGGAAGGTGTGGAGTGCAGATGGCTGTATATAAACCTCATGGACCCATGTAGGCATAGAGAAAGGGATTATGCGTGTGTTTTATTTCGTGGATGTTTCGTGTTAGGTGTTAATAAAATGTTACTATACCATTGCTAAGTCAGTATTTTTTTATTATGTTCATCCGTATGTATTGATATTAATAAAAGTGAGTTTTGATTTATGTGTGTACTAACCAATGGAAAAGCATTAACATTTTAATGTTTCTTCTAATGATAGAGCGTTTATTCACTGTTTCGCTGATGTAGTGCCTAATGGCATCTAATTGTCAATAAATGATTTAAGTATTTTTCTCGATTTTGAAGATAAATCATATACAAATGTTTATTTAATAAATGAAAACTACACCAAACACATTATAAGAGCAAGTGATAAAGGAAGCTGGCAGTTAAGATTTCATGTGTGACATTTACTTGGAGCAGATCCATCAGATTAAGTTTTATCAAAAAAAAAAAGATTCAGAAGATTAAATTCTAAGAAAATCTGGAAGATTCTGCACCCTTCCTCACATTCATACTGTTTTTTTTTAACTAAAATAAAATTTATTGATAATTTGAAAGTACATGAAGTTCAGAAAAGACGTATATTATATTTACATCAAACTTAGTAGAGTAGTAAGCAAAAAGATGAGCTAGAGTATTCTGATCTCTAGGGATATGTTTTGCTTGAAAGCCCTCTAATTTTGTGATATTGAGCATTATAGTTCCAATATGCATTTGAGTTATCCAGTTGCCAATGTTGTTTCTTTCTTGAATGGATATGTGTTTATATCCTTCTTGATGTGCTTTTTCCGGTCCCTTAACAACTGCCTTGAATTCAGTATCTTGGCTTCCTTGAACTGCAATGACGTTTCCTTATGCAAATAGTAAGTGATTATCGTGAGTGACTATGACAAAAGCTGCACTTGAACGATTTGAGATTGGATTAAAAGAACCATCAGTAAAAATTTTGATATGCTCGAATCTATGGGAACCAATTCTCACTGCATGTTTCTTGGTCCCTTGGAGTCCCCTATCTCAAGAAGGAAAGATGGCATTTTTTGGAATAAATCCTAGATCTGGTGAAGATGCCCCACCTTGACATCCTATTCCGAGAAGAAAAAAATGGTAATGAGATGCACATAGAACAAACATGGAAACTGATCAAAGACATAGGCAGAAACAGATCTTAGATTTGTTGTGGCATAAAAGTCACAACTGGACATCTGTCCCAAAATTTATGCTTTGACGGGAAAACCTATACAAATCTTAAAACCAAACATAACTTAAGGTTCAGTTTGAAAAGAGTACAAATGCAAATATGTAGAATCCAAGACCTTATATTTTGTATTTATTTGCATTTGTACTCCTTTCAAACTTAGCCTAAAGAAATTTTGCGGCAACGAAACTTTGGCTTCATCTGATCGTAACCCTTCATATGGTATGACAGCTTGCAAACTTAAGGCTTAGTTTAGGAAGAATATAAATATAAATATATTTAATGTAGAACCTTATATAATTTGTATTGTACATATTTATATTCCTCCTTTTTTTTTTTTTAATTGAACTTAAAGTAACAGTTTTGGGCCTATGGCCCATTCTTTCGAAGGAAAACATTATTTTGATCAAATTATGCCTCGAAACGTTGCTTGAACCAAACCTACTACAAATATAACAAAAACTACTGTTTTTTCTTTATTGGATAGATAGCTTAATCAATCGTTTTATTGAGAGGTCCCCTCAACCCCATTTAATCGAACAACACGTGGAGGGCGGCTGACAAATAATACGCACACTATGCCACTCAAGCCCAATGAGAGCACATTCCAATTCCAAAGGTGTACATTGACAGCTTCCATTTATATCTCTTCAATTGCTGAACCCCTCCCACGATACGATAAATAATACTTGTAACTTAGGAAAACGAAATATATAGTCTATCTACTCTTACGTTGGCTGATGAAAAAGAAAAATCAACTCCTGTATTGATTAACATGACCAAAAAAGGAAGAATTTTATGGGTCATGCACTCATACTTGAGTCTTGACCTCTACACATCCTGTGTTCCTTCCTATACCATTTCCCGCCCATGGTAAACCAGGATTTAGTGGTATTACAAGGATTCCATTATGCATCCATCTAGCAGCAACTCTCTATTTAGGGTGTGACTTTAGTGGGCCCTACTCGCACGTGGCTCCCTCAAAACTTGAGATTTTTCATGGATTGGGTTGGGATTATTGGGCTATGTGGGCTGTAAAGCCTGAAGGAAAYTTAGTCGTGTTGGGCTATAAGTGTTGTTAGAACCTCATCTTTCCTTCCGCAGCCTGTTGAACAGTCAAAACGTTCAGCTAATCAGAATTCTTTTTTAATACATTAATTATATTTATTTGAACACTACTCCATATTCCGTTTGGGAGAGTTTTGGAGCTAAAATTTTCCCATGCGTTGCGAGTCTTGCGACCTTGACTTGGGCTGGATCACAGATTCACAGGTCATAGCTTTTCATGATAAAAAGCCACAAATCTGGCAAGAGTCATATTGGTTGGGTTTTAGTCAATGGAGACATACTAAAACCCAACCAATATGGCTATTGCCAGATTTGTGGCTTTTTATTATGAAAAGCTATATGACCTGTGAATCTGTGATTCAGCCCCAGTCAAGGTCGCAAGACTCGCAACGCATGGGAAAATTTCAGCTACGCCTTTACCTGACGCCCAAACCTTTTCAATTCATCCATTCCGTATCTTATTAAGTATTACACAGATCTAGAAAGATAGATAGATAGATAATGGAATGGTTAAAATGACTACAAGGATATAATGACCTTTAGGCCATGTTTGGAAGTGCTTAAAAATAAGTGTTTATTTGAGTCATTAAGTATTTATTGGTATCTGGGGAATAAGTTCGAAATAAGTGTTTATTTTAAAAATAAGGA